CGGCGCCTCGCATATACAGCGCGGCCGGGGGATTTCTGCGGGGGAGGAGCCGCGGAGGACGGGAATTTCCAGCCAGTCAAAGCCCGACCGACGAGTCTGGTCCTGCTAGGCGCCTCAGGCGCTGGCAAGGGAGGGCGGAGCGGCTCGGGCCGCCCAGAAGGGGCGTCGGAGGGGAGGGAAGAGGCCGGGCTGCGAGGGAACTTGGCGTTTTCCCAGGGGGGAAGTACTCGCCTCTCCGGCGTCCCCGTCGGTACTTCCCTGCCGCGCCCCGGGGGGATTTCCCTACCCTGCCCTGCCCTGCCCGATCCTGGGGCTCCCGATGCCTCCTCCCCGCTGGGTCCCACTGCACCTCGGGCTCCTTGCGCGCTTCGGGGCCTCTTGAAGGCTGAGGAGCGCCTCAGTGCCGGGCACTGCTGGCCCTGAGTGCACCATGCATCCCCCCGACATTCCGTCAGTTTTCTGTGAGGAGCTGCGGGATCACAGAATCAGAATAATTTGCGTTGGAAGGGTTCTATAAAGAAGGTTTCTGTTCCTGTATTGCAACTATTTCTGGCCTCAGTGTCTGTGCTTTCTTCCCATTTTGTCATTTTCCCATGGGATGGAATTCCTTGGAACAAGAACTTAGGAGAAAATAAAGGTCCATCTAGACTAAACCCCCTGCTATGAGCAGGGACATCTTCAACTGGGTAAGACCCTCATCCAGTCTGACATTTAATTTTTCCAGGGATGGGGCATCCACCACCTTTCTGGGCAACCTCTAACAGTAAGAGGTTGCCCAGAGGGGGCACCACCCTCATTGTAAAAAAATCTTCTTCCTTATATCTAATCTAAATTGACCTTTCTTCTGTTTTAAACCCTTACCCTTTGCCCTATGGCAACAGGCCCGGGTACAAAGCCTGTCCCCATCTGATTTTCCAGGCTGCCCTCATGCACTGCGAGGCCGCAGTGTGGTCCTGCCAGGAGTCTCCAGCTGGAAGGCCAGGCTGGAAGCATTAACTCTTAGAAGCTCCATCACCCATGAGGTGCAGTGTAGCACGGCACCCCATTCTTGCACAGTCTGCACAATGACAGATCCCTAAGCCAGTGAGGATCATTCTGAAGTCTGATGAGAGGGACCACCTTAGGAGTCCTTAACCAGCACTCATAAAACGATTAGGAAGAAGCTTTTTAGTGAGCTCAGGGCAGAAAAGTCATGCTAAAATGTCAGAGAATCCAATGTGATGCTGAGGCTGCTACTGCATCAGTACACTGCATCTGCCCTGCTTGGCAGGCAGTGTCACTTCTTGGAGAGATTCAGGCAGTATTGCGCATGATGGATGTTATGCTGCCATGCCTGCAAGTGTGCAGGTGTTACCTCAGCATTTAGAGGATTTTGCATCTCTGCTCTGTAAGTTTTCACTCTGTAACAGAAAAAAACCTTTTAAAGAACAAATTACATCTTAATAAGCCGTTATCCTTACTTTCTCTAGCCATTCCTAGCGACTCTGCTTCTTTTTTACTGCTGTCATGCCATCTGTGGGTAATGAAAAGTGGATAAATGCAGGATCCCACATGGATAAAAGGCATTGTCTGTCTGCAGAGCTGACAGCACTGAATTTTTTCCTGGTG